TTTTATGATTAATAGCATTATTCATTTGCAATCACAAGCTTATTCAAATGGGGTTCCATATTTTTTAATCAAGATTAGAGACGATTTACATTTTGAAACTTATCACTATGGAGTCAAAATTAAAATTCCTACTATTTCTAAAAACAGAGTTTCAAAAATTAATGCATGGTCAATATTAGAAGAAGTCCTACGTTATTTAAAGAGTTTGATTCCTGGAAGAAAAGAAATTGTAATTCAAGAACATTTAGCTTCTATGGGTACACAGTGTGTTGGAAATAAGATTTATTCTAAAGAAATTATTATTAGATCTTTTCAGTATTTTGCTACATCCAGAAGTTTGTATAATCAATTGCGAACAGATTACCAATTGCCTTCTGTAAGAACTTTGACAAGAATAACTTCAAAAGTTTCTAAATTAAACGAAAAACTTTTTTTCACTAATATTTTTCAATCTATTGAAGAAAAACAGAAAATTTGTTTGTTATTGCATGACGAGGTTTATGTTAAAAAAATGTTGTTATATCATGGTTATACATTGTTCGGAAAAGCAATGGATGATTCAACTTCTCTTGCAAAAACTGTATTGGGTTTAATGGTTAATTGTTTATTCGGTGGGCCATCGTTCATTTCCAAAATGATACCTATAAGTAAATTAAACTCTCAATTTCTTTTCGAACAAATTAGCATTACTATCCAATCAATAAAAGAATCATCTGGTCAAGTCAAAGCCATAATATGTGATGGAAATAGAATTAATCAGGCTTTTTTTAAAATCTTCGAATTCACAGTTCCAAGTAAACCTTGGTTGACTAATGATGGTGTTTTCTTAATCTTTGATTATGTACATTTGCTTAAAAACATTAGAAATAATTGGCTTACTGAAAAAACTGGTCAACTTATATTTTATGATAAAGGGGTACAAAAAGTAGCACAATGGGATCACCTGAAAAAACTTTATGAACTTGAATCTAAAAACTTAGTTAAATTGTCTAATTTAAACGAAGTTTCAATATTTCCAAAGCCAATCGAGAGGCAGTCAGTGTCTACCTGTTTACGGATATTTTGTGACAAAACTTACCATGCTTTGATTAATCATCCAGGACTGCAGCATATAAAAGAAAGACAAGACACAGCAGATTTTATTAACATTGTCGTATCATGGTGGAAAGTTCTTAATGTTAAAGGAACAGGTGCAGATGTTAGGTTTAATGATGAACTTCAAGCAGTTATTAGAGATCCTAATGATAATAGATTAGAAAACATTTTAGATTTCGGAAATATGGCTTTAAAGATGGCTGGAAAGCAAGGTAAAAGGAAGAAACAACTTACTTGTGACACTGCACAATCAATTTACCATACGTACAATGGTGTTGTTGAATTATGTCGTTCATTATTGAATAGCTCACACCAATGTTATTCTTAGTGAGTTTTTTACTGATCCATTGGAAAAAGAGTTTAGCAAATTGCGACAAGGTTCCGGAGGTACATATTTTATAACAGTACAGCAGGTAATTGAAAAACTGAATATTTCAAGAGCCAAGCTTTTACTATCTCTTAATAACCCAGCTGTTGACATATGTCTTGATACAACCCATTCTTGTCCAAATTGTGGTTTTTTATTGGATGAGTCCTCTGCTGAGATATTTGACAACCTGCCAAATCTTGAATCTTTTATTTCTTCTGATACAAATATGGCACTTATATACATATCAGGATATTTAACTCGTAAAGATAATGAACTATCAGAAAATGAGCTGCTAGAAAAAACAACTTTCTACCACCAAAAGTTTGGACAATACATAGACTCAATTGACCGTGGCGGACTTAATATTCCCACAGATAATACCTGTCAATGGGTAATTTTTTCTTTTATAATTTTTAATACGATTAAAGATAAAGTATGCAGTTTCATTGAGCAATATTCTAATGATGATATCAGAGTTTTACAACTTTGAGATGCATCGACATCACGGAAATATTCTTTCAAACATTTTTTTAAGCAATTTATGTAAACTTTCAACTCCTCGTTCAAATAAAGAACCAGCTCGAAAAATATTAAAATTGTCATGAATTCTTAAAATATTATTGTATTCTTATCACAAATTTTTAATTGTAACTTTATGTATATGATTATTTAAGTGTGTAAGTATATATATATATATATATATATATATATATATATATATATATATATATATATATATATATATATATATATATATATATATATATATATATATATATATATATATATATATATATATATATATATATAGAATATAGATATATATAGAGAACAGAGCAATAATTAATTATTAAAAATATTTATCTATCTTTTTTCTTCAACTCTGAGTTTCGCTACTACACTACTACTGGATCTTTAGGAATATATATATATATATATATATATATATATATATATATATATATATATATATATATATATATATATATATATATATATATATATATATATATATATATATATATATGATTTTTGTTTTTGAATTTGAAAAAATTTATAAGTTAAGAAATATTTTGTTTGAATTTTTGTTTGTTTGTTATAAAATGAAACAGTTTGAGAGTAAAAAGTTCATTGAGTTAATATAAAATTACTGAACACTTTTTTGTTTTGTTTTTGCCGTTAAAATAAAATAGGCCCCCAGTCAACTAAGCTGTTTGCGCGATGGCAAGGCCTTCAGTATAGATCGCCGTGGTACTCGCCCAAACTATATTCGCATATATGAAGAAACTATGTATAAAAGAGAAATATATAAGTTTTAAATTATTTTGCGACAATATAGGTCATGCCTTATAAAGTAGACCTATGTTTTTTGATATTTTAGTGTTTAAAGCTTTTATGTGAGCTTTCCAAGATAAATTTTTATCAATTATAACTCCTAAAAACTTAGTTTCAAGTGTTCTCTAAATTATTATATTTTCTATTTTTAGAAAGAGTAGAATATTTGGTAGTGTGTTTCTTTGCTGGTTTGAACGAAATAAAGTGTATTTTGTTTTTTTTATGTTTAGGGATAAATTATTTTTTTTAAACCATATATTCAATACAGATCTTTGATGTTTGTCGAATAGTAAAATAAACTTATATTGTCTGCAAATTCAAGTTTGCTAGAAACTTTTGGAAGGTTGTTTATAGAGATTAGGAATAAAAGAGGAACAAGAATCGAACCTTAGGGGACACCGCAAGTTCATTTTAATAATTTAGTGTGGTAATTATCATTTGTAATAACACGCTGTTGTCTGTTTTACAGGTAACTTTTGAACCACCGCAGTTTTTGGTTTTTTAATCCAAACTTTTCCAATTTTTTAGTAGGATTTTATGATTTATTGTCGAACGCTTTTGACAATTCTAAAAAGACTCCTAATACGAATTTCTTTTCACAGATTGATTCACTAATTCTTTTCGTGAAGTTTACAATAGCATGCTCTGTCAAGTGCTGAGTTTATTGGTTTAAACTCAGCACTTGAGTTTAAACCAATAAACTCAGCACTTATTGGTTTTCAAAAAACTCAGCACATATTGGTTTTCATTTAGAACTTTGTTTGTGATTAGGTATTTTTATAAACGATTGTAGATTATTGATTCGAGGAGTTTTGAAAATACGGGAATGATTGATATAGGTCTGTAATTATGTAAGGAGGAAGTTTCTCCGGATTTATAGATTGGAATAATTTTAGCTATTTTTTAATTGTTGGGTACAATTCCTGTAATTATTGAAGAGTTGAATATTAGAAAAATGGGTTTTCTTATTTTATTATTTAACAATTAATGATTCAATACTGCTTATTATTTGAAATAACTTTCATTTGCTTTTATTACACCAGTACACAGTGGGTCAGAATTCACTCAAAACTAATGACTCGTCATATAATAAAAATTTAAAGACCAATTTTGCACAATATATTTTTAAAATATTAGAGACCCGTCTAATGTTTAAGGGTCTTGAGCGACCCCTAAAAATTTTTTAAATTTAGTATTAATTTATTAAATAGAACATAATAAGGGGTATCATCAGACATTTTCAAAAAATATTGCTTTATGACACACCCTAATATATGTATATATAAATATATGTATGTGTGTGTGTGTGTGTGTGTATATATATATATATAATATATATATATATATATATATATATATATATATATATATATATATATATATATATATATATATATATATATATATATATATATATATATATACATACACTTAATAGAATAGTTACAGTAATATAAAGTTAAGTAATATATTTTAATAATATCATTTAAAACAAAATATCATTTAAAATAATTCATTGAAATCTTGATTCTGAAAATATTTTAACCAATAAAGTTCAAAATATTTAAACTTTCAAAAAAAAAAAAAAAAAAATTAGATTTATATATTTGTTATCAAAATATGTTTTAAAATTGACTCAAAATATTCAATCATTTACCAAAGATTACCAAAAAAAAAAAAGAAAGTTTATTACAGCACACACCCACCTTTTTTGGGGCCTGGGTGCACATAAAAAGCAATTTTTTCACACCCCTTGATAGATGTGAACTTATAATTATTTTTTTTAGAAATATTTGTAAGGTATCTTTATAGGGAACAAAAAAATTTCAGAGTGGGCGGACACAAAACCGGGCGGACAATTTAGCACACTGTGTGTTGTGAATAAACATCGTAGTTCACAGCATACAATCCAATGCAATCTTTATTTATTTTATGCCAGATTTATTAAACTTCGTCCATAAACCTTTTGACTAAATGTTTTTCTCCCCTAGCTTCCGAAACGGGGCGCTATAAAGACAGACAAAATATCGACTACGCCACTATTACATTACACCAAAAGTTAATTACTGTAAAATATTATTTAAAAGCTGAAAAACAACAAAGGTTATTTTCTACACTTATTTGTCATTTTTGTTTAATAATTATCTTAGCATTAATATTTAATTAGTAATTGAATGAACTTGTTTTAAAACAGTAATTATAACTTTTAATGGTGTATTTTTATTAAAATAACGGCATTCTTATTCATGTCCAAATTTTTTCAAAATTTAAGGACTTGTGGCGCTGCGCTTTTCAATAATGCGGCAGTAATATTTTTTCAATCATGCTCAGATCAGTTGTTCATCGTGATCGTGTTAAATGTTTGTCACTGGATCGCCTTCTCCGTGGTGACTCTAAATCCTTATTTTTCTTATATTTATCAATATAATCTCTGTCTTCTCCTTTTCTTCTTTGATATAAAAGTTCAGTTGCTACTTCGCGATCTCGTGACGAGTCATTTTTACTTTTTTTATTTTCATGATAATCATCTTCGTGGTGTCTTCTTTTTGACGAGTTTCTACTTCTATCTTCTTTTTTGTTAACTTCTTCAACTTTTTGATCATATTCTTTCGTTCTTTTATTTTCAATTTCACTATTATGACGAGATGAATCTTTATTATGTTTATCACGATGTGTCATATTATAACGGTTTTTAGAATTTCTTTCCTCGTCACGTAAAAAATCACTATTATCACGACGTTTAATCTCTTTATCATTATCACTGCGTACTGTATGTTTGTCATTACGACGCAGCAAATCTCTATCATCACGACGTTTTTTTGGTGAGCTTTTTTTCCTACAAAAAAAAAAGTTACAAAAATGTATAAAACGTCAATTGAACAGGTGTTTTCAATTTTGGTTAAAATCTATTTATAATTTTAACTTAAGCAGTTGAATATAGTAATCGATTTAACATTGTAAAGGGGTCGTCCATATTTTACGTCACGCAATTTTCGACCATTTTAGTACCACTTTAGTAACAAGTCTCGTATGACTCGTCACGAAACCAACAGAGAGCGTGACGTAATTTATGGACGACCCCAAAATAAGCATGTCAATCTAGTTAAGGATTAGTATTTTAAAATCAAAAACAAACTTATAACTAATTAAATTAAAATAGCAGTTTATATAAAAAACTTTTTGATTTTTTTTTGATGTCATTATTTTATTGCTTTAGAGATTTTTAAAAGTGCAGTTGAATTTTGAAAAAGTTGAAAATTGTTTTGTTTTAGGAAAAAGATGACGAGTTATTATGTAAAAAAACAAAAAAACAAAAAAAAAATGAAAAGAATGAAAATCATTTCATACTTCGGGTGACAATTACGAACTTTGAAGTTTTGTTTTTGTAATTTTACTCTTTTTTGATCTCATGGAGTGTAAAATAATTTTATATTTAAAGATTGCGTTATAATCATTAGGCATTACTCTATCATTTCCATACACCCATATTTAAATTCCATACACCCATATTTAAATTCCATACACCCATATTTAATTTCCATACACCCATATTTAAATTCCATACACCCATATTTAATTTCTCTAATAAAATTGTTCATTTGTTATTCAAAATGTTTAATATAATGTTTACTTATATTTATTACATTAATCTAATATTTTAAAATTTTGTTCAAGAGGTTTATTTGTTGCTAATATTTTTGTTTTGTTCTAGTTATGCGAATATATATATATATATATATATATATATATATATATATATATATATATATATATATATATATATATATATATATAGAGAGAGAGAGAGAGAGAGAGAGAGAGAGTAAATTGGCAAACTTATAGGTATTGAAATAAAAAATTTGTTGAGTTTATTCCTGTGAAATGTATTTTTTTTTCAATTTATGTTTTAACATCAAATTAGAGAATGTATTAATAATATCCATAATAAATTACTGATTTGTTATATTGATAATATATATAATATTAAATTTGGTTTGTTTACCTTAGATAATTTCCTAAAAATAATCTTAATTGAATCAATACATTCACTTTCTCATTTTGCCCAACTATGTGGGGAAAAATGTGACAGTGAAGGTGTTGTCAATAAATAATCTCTAGTAATCTAACCACTGCAGTTTTGCAACTGATATTTTTTCGGATTATAATAGGATGTTAGAAGACTTCAAAAAACCTGTTACATGGGCCGTATTAGTGCTCATATTGCCCTTCATTATTCTAAAACGGTAGATACGCAATATAAAATAGCTTGTTAGTCCCGTTAAAACTAAATAAATTAAAAATTTTCTATTGTACCTTTGTTTTTAATAAATGCTTTTGACAGTTTTAATTACTATTTCATTATATAACTATTCCATTTCGACTAAGGCTACATACTCAAAATAATACTTAAGAGCTATCCGATTTTTTTGTTTGAAAACTATTTTAATCAATTCAGTTGGTTTATTTGCAATTTTTTATATCAGAATTTAATACCAGGCTAAATTATTAACACAAACCTTAATTTCTTTAGAAAATTTACGGTTTACGGATAGTAATTGTAATAAAAAAATTTTTTGTTATTGGCGCTACCTTGAGTATCTATTACTTATGCAAAGAATTATAATGTCTCATTAAATAAAAAAAAAAAAAAAAAAAAAAAAAAAAAAAATTGATATAAATAATAGAATTATTGGTAAAAGAAATTTTCTATCTAAGCATATAGATTTTTCTATCTAAGCATATTGATATTTATCATATCAATAAAAATCATTAAAAACCTGTCATGGAACTATCAAGTTTATCCAAAAGAATTATGACATTTTCCGATTTGGATTCAATATCAAAAAAAAAAAAAACTTTCTGAGCTGATATTACTTAAATCTCATCTCGTTAAGCTTAAAATAGTCTTTTTGATTCGATTATCTCAAGAATAATCTTTCATTAACTTTTTTTATTAGAACAAGGGAGATAAATAAATATTACACAGGAAATACTAAAAATGGTTAGTTATACCCATCTCTTTTTAAAACAACAAATTATGGCAAGCTTTCCATTACATAACAATCCCCATTGGAACAAATCAATAACATTATCATTAAAAAAAACACCTAAAACTGAAATTGTTAAAAAAAAGATCTAAAAACCCTTTTGTTAGCTACTAAGCTTTCTTCATTTAAATAAAACTTAAAAAAAATAAAACTTGAAAATTTGTTTTAAATAATTATTTAAAGAATATTAAACATATCTATTATTATGGCTATTATATTACTATTTTATCATTATTTATCCTATTCTTATTATTACTATTTTCATTTACATTTTATATTTATTATTATTTTTTTTATGATTCATTGCATGATGCTAATAATGATTTTACAGTAGTAATAATTTTACTATTATTTTTTACTGTTATATTTTTTATTGTTATACTTACTTATTATTATTTTAATTTTATTAATATTGATACCATTATTTTTAACTATTTATTTATTTTAAATATTTCCATAATAATAAACTATACTATAATTTTTTTTTCATTAATCACTATTTTTTTTATAGTTGTTATACAATATGTTATTTCTGTTCATTATTATTTATGTTAATAATATATTCTTTTATCTTTAATCTTGTTCATTAAAAAAAATTCTTTTTTCTTTAAATGTTTTTGTTTCTTTGTTTAATTAAATGCGTTTTTTAGATGTCACTCCATTGACCAGTTTTTAAATAAATGAGTTGCACCTAACCTTATTAATATCATTATTTAATGTTGTAATGATTTGTATTTATATTTTTATAGTTAAATAAATGTATGTAAAAAAAAACTAAAACTAATATATATCTTGAGGTAAATTAATATATTAAAATACCTCGAAAACTTATTACTTTTAAAAAAATATTCAAATAAAATTAGAACCTGTCAACCGGCGACCGTTGTTATTTAATAGGTGACTTGTCATCTTCTGAAGAACCTAAACAATTAATTTAAAGTAAATAGTTATTATTATTAATAAATTAATTTCTTTAATTATTACTATTAAATAAATATAAATATATATATAAATAAATATATATATATATATATATATATATATATATATATATATATATATATATATATATATATATATATATATATACATATATTTCCTTCGACATAATTTCAAGTCAAATCATTGCCTTTTTTTTAAAAAAAATCACAACAAATTTTTAAAAATTACTAATGCTTATTGTTTTGTTAATAACTCAATAAAAAAATAACAGTGATTTATTGCTCAACAGGTAACATTAATTGCAATGATTTCAAAAATGGTGGCAAAATTTTAAAATGTTTTTTAAAAAGATTTAATAAAAAAAGTTGAATGAAAAAATTTAACAGAAAAAAACAGAAAATAATAATATGAGAATAAATTAAAAACTTTAACCAATTTTATAAAAAGCAACTATTGATTTTACCATAAAACAAACTAAAGATGTAAAAAAAAATGAAGATATAGCTTATGTCATATAAAATATGCTTCAATGAAGTAAATTAAAAGTAGTTTATCATAAACAAACAATTTTTTAAATTATTTTAGTCTAAAATTTTTTATATATTATGAATATTTATCATTTTCAAAAGACATCTAGGTTGTTTGTAAATGCTTATTTTTTAAAATTAGGATATTTTTAACCGGTCAACCTTGACTGTCAAGAACTCATTTTGGGAGTTCAAATGTATATATATATATATACCAATGTATAATGTTCAAATGTATATATATATATATACCAATTTCTTTGAAGACAGATTGAGACAAGTCATTTTTCCACATGTATACAAAGCATACATAAAACATTATATAAATTTAGCTCGTATATATTTAAAATTCTCATTTAATAAATAATAAAATGTTTTGCGTGAGAAAAGCGATTTGCAAAGCAGATTAAACGGATAGCATGTTTCTGACGGCGATAAAGACGTTGCAACTTACTTTTTTCTGTACTAGCCCAGGCGATATTAGTATAATTTTAATAACTGTGTATAAATGAATAATAAATTTTGATTAAAATTTTCTTATTGAGGTAGATTCGTGCTTTATATATGAAACTCCTATGTTTTTTGAAATTTTAGTGCTTATGTAGTCGATATGATGATTCCAAGTGATGTTTTCATCAAGGTAAACACCTAAAAATTTTGTTACGGAATCCCTTTTTATTTCATTTTGATCAATAAAATTTTTAGGTAAGTTCAATGGCGAATATCGTTTTTTGAAAAGCGAATGGAATAAGGTCCACTTTGTTTTATTAGAATTTAGAGTTAACTTATTACATTTAAACCAACTCGATACATGTATAAGCTCTTTGTTTATTGTTTTAAAAAGTTCAAAGATATTACTGTTAGAAAGAAATAAGTTAGTATCATCTGCAAACATAATACTTGTTAGTTTAGAGGCTTTATTTAAATCATTGATATAAATTAGGAAAAGGAGTGGACCAAGAATTGAGCCTTGTGGGACTCCACATGTTATAGAAAGACAGTTGGTGTGATGACCGTCATTACTCGGAACAAATTGTTTACGATTTGACAAATAGCTTTCAAACCATTTTAAAACTCTATTTTTTATTCCATAGTGTTTAAGTTTATGGATTAGAATTTGGTGGTCAACCGTATCAAAAGCTTTTGATAGATCAATAAAAAGAGTAATTGGGAGTATTAATTTTTTTTTAGATTTTTGCAAACATTTTCTAATAGATTGTTATGGTCCTTGTAAATTTTTTCGTTTTTAGGTGTTTTTGTTTTCAAAAAATTTATATATAGTTTTTGCTTAATTATGGACGATTTTTTAAAGCCCTTAGTGTATTTAAGCTCTTAGTAGCTATTTTATTTTTAAATGCTTGGGAAGTTAGCATCGTATACATAAAAAATGTTTTGAAAAAAAACTCATAAATATTGCTAGCATTATCATTAAAATTTATGTTATTCCAGTGTAGTAATGAAAGTTGATTTTTGAATAAATTAAGGTTGGCCTCATTATAAATGCGTTTTCTAATTACTCTTTGTGCAGTTAAAGTATTTTCAGAGTTTGTATTATCTAATTTTAGGAATATAGGGAAATGATCTGTTATATATCGGTTTGCAAAATACCTACTTTTAGATCATTGTTGAAAATATCTGAAGTTATTATATTATCTATTAGAGATGCTGAATTTCTCGTTACTCTTGTAGGTTTGTTTATTAAAGATACTGAACCCGTTTCAAAAATTTCATCATAAAAATTTTTAACTTTAAGGTTATCATTATAAAGAAAACAGTTCATGTTTAAATCTCCAATTATAAAATTTTGTTTTTTTCAACAGTACCTTTTTTAATAATATGTTGTAAAAACATGCTAAAGTTTTCGCTTACGCCATCAGGTGGCCGATAACAACAGCTTAGTAAAAAAAATTTTTTGTTGCAGTTAGTAATTTCTATAGTTGCAATTTCTTTATCGCAGTCAGAAACGCCTAAATCATGCCTAAAACAATGCTCAAAATTTTAGTGAACATAAATTAAAACTCCACCACCGCGCTTATTTGTTTTCCTTTCCATTAAAAATGTATTAAAATGAGGTAGATGAAAATTATTTAGGTTTTCTAAAGAAATCCAAGTTTCCGTTAAACAAATTATATCAAAAACATGTTCAGTTTCTTCTAATAAGTCTAAAAGTTTTTCAAAATTGCTATTTAAGCTTCTTACATTGAGGTGGAGAATTAACATTTGATTATTATTTCTTTCATTCTCATTCTTAAAAAGAAACCCTTCTAGTTGGCTAGGAAAGTAATATGAACATTCTGAAAATTTATTGTGATAAATATTGTAATCAGAGTCTAAATTTTCATTTAACGTAGAGTAATTTGTTTTTTGAATTTTAAAAACACGAGATTCAAAGTTTTCATTTGTAGCCATGATAAATATATTTTATTTAAGATTTCTTTTTAGGAATGCCCATAAAATTATTCGTTAAAATTGTTTTTAAAAGAAGTTTTAATATAAAAAATTTTGTCATACCTTACCGTAACACTTTCACCATTCAATCGCCTTTCTTTCACTTCAGCAAACAATTATTTTGGAATAGCGATGGTTTCTTGAGAAAAATCTTTGTTCACGAACGTATTTGTGCCTTTGAGTCGATACAATTCCTTTAATATTCTTATTTTCTCTTTATATTTCTGAAGATTTAATATTATAGTCTTTGGTCGTCCATCATTTTTTCGTCCAGTGCGGTGAGCTCTTTTAATTTCAACATCTTTTAGTCGTCCGCTTATAGAAAAAGTTTTAGAAAACAGTCGTCACGTATATCATTGCAAAAAGATCGTCAGTATGACGCAAAAACATCCAGTTGTCCAGTTGAATGTCCCACAAACAACAAGTTTTATCTTGCAGATTTTTAGATGACGCTCAAATTTTGACAAGATCTGCAAACTTGTTAAAATTTGATCATCATCTAAAAATCTGCAACAAGTTACATGACCTGTATGTCCATACAACTCCCGTGTTATTATAATATGTTGTTTTGTTTTTAAATTGTAAATTGTACAAATTTTGTCGGCGCTACCAGAAGCAACATAATCTCCAGACTGAGCATATGCACATGTCATAAAACAATTTGTTTTTCGGACGAAAAAGCATAAACCTTTTTTTTTGAGTAGGTGTTCCAAACAATTAGCTTGCTATCTTGTGCAACACTTAGTAAACTCCTTATGGAGATTAGTAAGTGTTGCACAAGATTCAATTGAATCACATCACACTCAAAAAATTAGTGCCATACATGCCAATGTATTGCACTAATTATTCGAGTATGACTACAGTTTTTTTCTAGTTCGCATTCGAATTTTGCTTATTTGATCTACATTTTGAGTAACCAATAAAAAATTTGTATCTTGAGCAACTTTGCGTGCATCGCTGATTTGTCTCTTTAAATCTTCTGCTTCTTGTCGAAGATAGTCTATTTCTGAAACACTCATTATATAATTGCTATAAATAAACTAAAATTCGATAGTTATATGATTATATGATAAATCAATTTAATATTGTTTTTCAAAACACCTTAATGTATCTCGAGAAAAGAGCAATTTAAAAAAGAATAAAACGCTTTTTGAAACTAATAACTTTTATGAATTTTTTTTTGAACTCTTTGAAAATATGTGTTAAATAACGTTTGTAGACATCTAAACTAGCATATTTTGTAAAAAAGATAAAAATTGATTTTTTTTACCTTAAGGTGTTTTGAAAAACGGACTTCAGTATAAGTCAATAACATATTTCAATAACGACTTGTAATTTATGTACGTAAACAAATTAAGTAAAAAACGTAACTCGCATATTGTGTATTTAAAAAAGCAATTAAAATGTTCTCTTGTTTTATATTTTAATAATTTAAATAATTTGCCAGACCAGGCACCAAGTATTTGCTGATGGTCGTACTTGATATATATATATATATATATATATATATATATATATATATATATATATATATATATATATATATATATATATATATATATATATACTTTTTGTAAATGCAATGCATTCTAGTAAAGCTGCACTGGGCAGTGTACGCCTTAGGGATGAATAATAAGTTAAAAAGAGTTTAGCAGAGTGAGATAAAAGTACAAAAGGACAGATGTCCAAGGGAAAACAAAGAGCCTCAAAGTGGAAAAATATTAAAAACTGATATGAGTTAGGTGTAGTAAAAAGTAAATAAGAATAATAAACAACAGTCAAGGAAAATCATTAGTTGTTGTGCTACTAATTTGTTGTTAGAGTCCAGCATAAATGTGATTTGTAGATAGAATTGGTAATGGAGTAGAATTATTCGTTTTATAAAAATTCACCATGTGGTTTGTATTCTAAGGGTGATAAATCTTCATTATAGATGTAAGTGTCATGAACGTCTCGAGTACAGTATGAACTGGTGCCCTATGGTGCAGTGTGAACGCATAAAGACCTCCAGCTTTTAACCAAAACTGGTATCCTAAAAGAAGTTCCACTCTGGGTCTACACCTAAGAAAAATGATTGCTCGCGTAACCTTTCTTTCATTACTTACCATCCTTTTAAGAACCATCACGATTTAACATCAAAAAGGACATTGAGGAGAAGGGTTCGAAGACGACAAAATATTCAAGAGAGAATTGCAGCTAAGCGGAACTTAGAGGCATCTATAGATAGTGAGGGAACATTAGAAAAGGAGCAGAAAGTGGTCGAAGAACCACCAGTAAAAATAAATAAAGAAGATACAGAAGAAGTGGAAAATACATTAAGGTTCTTGGCCGATAATTTAGACGTTTTCACGAACAATATAATTGTAAAGTAAGGTACATTTAAATGATAAATATATACTTAAAAACATTAGTAACATAATTCGGAATCACCACCTATTGTAATACCAATGATTTCTTACCCCTATAACCCTTATCCCAACCGGAACACGTGACTTTATCTAGAATCTACGTGTAACCCAAACCCTAATTATTAATAATTATCACAACAATTATCATAAATATATTAAACATCTAAATCCCCCTTAGAACAACTGCTCTAAATATACCCACTAAGACATTGAATTACAGAGACAGCCAATTTCAATACTTGTCTCTAAAAGAAAACCGATGACAATAACAAAAAATAATTCCCGCGGAAAATGATAGAAAAACTCACCTTGGGAATTACCTAACTCTTTTCGCGGAGACTAAAGAAGCTCTGACACGTAAATAGAACAATAGACCATTGAAAACTTACGATAGAACAATGGAATTTCTAAAAACAGAAGTTTTACATTTTTATGTGCACACGTTTCGTTCGTATCAGATATCTGCTAACAAGCGAAGAAAAAGCAACTTTGGCGTTCAGAAATATATTTTTTCACGTTTATTTAATAAAAAAATCCACATTAACGACAACACGAACAATGGCATCGAATAATTACATAAATATATACCCTACTACAACACCCAGCAACACGGTAAGAAAAACATTTCCTTTATCACATTTACATACTTAATAAGTCATACCATCACCACCCCACTATAATTTAGCGTTTACTTGAACACCACACGCCACTACAATTCACCATTGAAAGCACCTCATACTATTCTTACACATTATGCATACTTAGATTTTATTATAGAGTCCAAACACACCGGAAGACATATTCCTTACACAAGACGTGTTTCGAAATCAAGAAGTTCTCGTGACCGTAGATAAATTAGAATTAGAAATACTAAGGCACAGTACCACCCTGGAACCCGAAGACAAAAAAGAAGGAGACACAACACAAAAAGACGAAGAACTAAGTGACAGCCAAATGATAGAAACGGTAGGTTTAGTTTAAACCTTTACACCAAAAACATCTTAAAAACTATTAATCATCCCCCTCATACCCAACCCCCTAGGGTCCGACTCCGTTATCTGAAAATTGTTGTGTTTATATATGTATGTACTTCATTTATGTATATCATTTGTGCGTGTTTGCATGCATATATGCATGCATCTGTATATGCAGACATGTGGGGATGTATGTGTTTGCATGCATATATGCACACCCTACCCTGTTACCCTCTTAGTATGTATAGACCTCTGTTTTATACATGGTAGTGTTCATACAGATATATTTGTATGTGCATATACATGTGCACATACATTTATATTTGGATTTATACTCTTGCACCCAACCCCCTCTATTTCACTCTATTTCACTCCGTTACCTGATTTATCTGTTTTATGCATAGTTGTACTCACACAAGTATATGTGTACTTGCGTGTGCATGTGTTTGCGTGTTTATATGCGCATATGCGTGTGCATGTATGTGGACGTGTGTTTATGCATTAGGTGTGTATACATGTATATGTAGAATTGTGTTCTTATATGGGTGTTTAGGCTGGTTTAGGCATACTTCTATGCCTAAACCAGCTCTCCTGTACCCAACCCCCTAAGATTCTAAATCAACTCTCACAGTATTATATAATTGCGTGAGAACATATTATAATGATCTACACTATTCTGTATGATCTTATAATGCTCGATACGCACACCAGATGAAATGGGAGACTCCTCGGGTATGAGTTCATCACATATCTAAACCTTACGTGGTAACTAAGCTGTAGGCCATGGAGTTGTTTTAGTACTTTAACTTCTTCGAAACAAGCTTAGACATTCCGACATGGCCCTGACGAGATGAAGGTTTGTCACATGCCACAACTTTAGACCATTATGATGACCTCAACCCCGAACTCCACTCGCGCAGCACCTTCCCCTCAACTTGTTTTACTTTTATACTACAATAATTTGTACTACTAATTTATTACTAATTTATTACCTCCAATTTACGATGGTAATCACTAAAGCTTTATAGCATACATACTATGCATATCGGATATATTATACACGATATATATAATATTCTAGATATACATAAGTCTCTCTATAAATAATATAAGAAACTTATTGGTTTACCTAACAAGCATCATACTGCCCCGAACCAACACCACTGAGCCAAACTGTGTTGCTATAATTGTACTGCACCCCGCACATAGTTCTTACAAAAATAGCAACAAACTCCACATTCTCATATGTTCTATCAACATATGTTAAAACATATCTTATAAAGTGCTTTTAACAAAGATTACGATCACAAAGAACATAATAACATCAAAATTGAATAAGACGGAAAATTAAAATATTTACGAAAATACAGATTCATACAAAGAAAGACATTAATTCACATATTAAACTTGAACATTTAGAACACCACAAACACAAAGCACAATAATTAACACAAACTTACAGAACACTGAAACAACACTTACTTAAACCTAACTTAAAGAACACTTACTTAACTCTAACTTAACTAGTGAATAATACTCCCCTCTTTAACACCACCTCTTAATACTGGACATCTGTCCAAATATTATAATTTATCTAGCACTCCCTTGCACTTATATAATATATTTCTTTCTTCTCTTAAGACTCTTACGGTCTGATGGTTCCATATCAGTGGTGGAACATTAATAGCTTCCACTGCGAAACAATAGCAGATCCCATTGTGTTATCCCAAAAGGACTTTTCTCAGAGTATCAAGTCAGGAAGATTGCTACAGACTCCCAAATTGACACTGAGACCAGAGGACACTTAGCGGGGTTTAGTTCAACTTGCAAACAGTAGTAAGTAGTTTTTTGACATAAATGTCTATTAAGTGCAGTGTTTTTTCAAAATGTAGCATGGGTCAATGAGAGTTGTGAATTGTTTTGAGTTAATTTAGGTGTGTGTAATGTAAATAGATATTGTATTTTACGTGTAAAACTATTGTAGTAGCATGCCTCAATAGCAAGAGTTATAAGTATAAAAAATAGTTAAAAGGTCCTTTAAGTTGGTGTAACGTCAGCTAGGCGTGATTTGTAGTAGTCCTATGACGTGTTTCGAGAGAATAAATTACCTATTACAACTAGATGATCTAAAATATTTAACTAGAACTACATTAATATAACAACAAAAACTAATGTGTAAATTTAAAAAAAATAATCTATTTATAAAAATTACGACTAATTCATAATAATTATATGGAGTTTTGTAGTTTAACTGGTTAATACGAGGTTTTGAAAAAGTGTTTGGTATTTTGTGTAAGAAAAAAGAATCACAGTACATAAGTCACATGACTGTAATGTTATGAGAAATATTTAAAACGGAGTAGAATTATTCGTTTTATGAAAATCATGGCTTGTTTTTGCTTAATAATATCAATAGTAAATTGTGTCTTAGGTTATCAGATAATGTATGTAGCAGAGATGGAGACAAGTTATTTCTTTTTTAAGTAGTTGTCAGATGGTGTATGAAAGAGAGCTGAAGTAGAATTAATCGTTTTTTAAGTAGTTATCATATGGTGTATGAAAGAGAGCTGAAGTAGAATTAATCGTTTTTAAATAGTTATCATATGTCACAGAGCTGGTGTAGAGTTATTCATTTTTTTTAGTAATTATCAGATGGTGCATGGAAGAGAGCTGGAGTAGAATTATTCGTTTTTTAAGTAGATATCAGATGGTAAGGCTATTATTATAATAACCCTGACAGGAGTGTTAAAGTAGATTGTACATGATAGTCAAAATTTGAGAGTGTGTACGGTGACAGTAGTAGTTAGTAGTTGTAATGGTTATGGTTAGCTGGAGTTGTATATTAAATATGTATGATTCTAGTAGTATCATATTAAAGCATATATACAAATACATATACAAATGCAAATACATTAAAGAAAAAACAAATACCCTTATAAATACATTATAGCACACATGTAAATACACACACACACACACACACTGATAAACAAGATTATATGTGTATTAATGCAAACACATATGAGTATGTATGTATTCACACATGCGTACGCTTACACACACACACATTTGTTGTCATCAGGGAGTTTCGAAGGTCTGGCACCTTGTGGACGCTACTTTGCTAAAATAGAGCACGTGCTCAGAATTTGTAAAACACCAGTATTTTATAATGGGGTGGTATGTCTTAAACTTAATATGTTCTTTTCTTGGTCAATATTGACCAGGGTTTTTGTGTATCTGTTTAGGAATGTTAATGTAAACATTGACACAGATATCTTATGACATTTATTCTGTACCATAGACATACAACATAAAGTGATAGTCATATTGGTACATACTTATAAACTTTTACTACAGTTAAAAACTTAGTAGCATTTAGCTAATTAAGAAAACATATAGACATTTGTCCCCTTATAAATAAATAAATGTCCCCTTATAAATAAATATTGGTACATAAACTTTATCTATAGATATAATTGTGAATAGAATAAAAGAAAGTTAAGTAACAAAAACATGTTTGCTTACCATTCTGAAAGTAAATATTATCTTTTGGGTTTAAATCGTGACGAAGATGTAAGATGTTCTTGATGATGAATATTAACTCGTCGTTGTTATAAAAGTTAAATTTAGAATTATAAATAAACAAAGATATACAGGAGATGTCAAGATTGATAAGAATCTTAATCCGCCTAAATATCCAGAGAATGTAAATATTAATTTTAAACTCACCGCTAAAATATGAATTTTAAACTCACCGCTCTGTATCAGAGTTCAAACAGAATAGCATGCGGTTTTAGAAATGGCTTTTATGCTGAATAAGAGACTGAGGAGAGCAAGGCCAAAAATCCCGATGATAAATTTGCGTTAGTTTGTAGAGTCTTGATGAACCGGAAATTTAAGTTCTTAAGAAGTTTTGAGTTTCCATTTGGATGATGTTGTCGATAGAGGGGTTGCAATAAAAGCTAATATTCTTTTGAGCAGTTGTTATTGTTGGTGTTTAGTGTGTATTAGTAAATCTTTAATAGATTTTAAGTTTGTATGTACTGATAGTGGTTTGTGTCGAAATATGTCCTGTAGTTGTAAGTTAGGGTCAATCATGTTCCAGTTGTTAAGAATGATGCTGTTGATTTGTTATCCAATGGGAGTATATGGAGTAACTATTGTTAGTCTTTCTGTATTTTCCTGCGCGCGCCTGTTGTTGATAAGTTCATGTTGCGTTTTATAAAGCGCTTTCTTAATGTTATTGTTGATGATGCGCAGAGGATAGTCTCTTAGTACTAGTGTCATAGTTAAGTATTTAAGTTCTTTTTGTAGGTTGTTAAGTTCTGTAATGATAGTGCGGTATCTGAGAGCTTGGCTGTATATGGTGCCCAGAATGGTGTGTGTGGGATGATGTGAGTCATAGTGAAGTAGTCCCATTGTATCAGTTGGTTTTCGATAGATGGTCGTGTGAATGTTACCTTGTTCATTTTTGTACAGTAGTATGTCTAGAAAGTTTATTGATGTTGCTAAGTGGTTGAAAGTGAATTTGATTGTTGGATGGATGGTGTTCATGTAGTTGCAGATCTGATCTAACACTTCTATGGGTCCTTGAAAAATGAAGTGTATGTCGTCGATGAATCTTCTGTAGAAAGTAATGTGGTTCGGAAATTGGTTGGTGATTTGTTCGTCAAGCCTTCCCATGAATAAATTCGCATAGCATGGCGCAACCCGTGTGCCCATTGATGTACCTGTCAGTTGATGGTAGTGTTTGTCACCAAAGGAGAAAGTACTGTTTGATAGTATTTCTTCTATTAGGTTGCCTATGATACCTGGTGATGGGCAGTCAGGTGGTCTATCTTGTAATGGTATGAGCCTCAAATAATGTACTACTGCGTCTATGCCATCTCTGTGTGGGATTTTGGTGTAGAGTGCACGCTTAAAAATAGTGTTGAGCCGTAGGCTACATTATGTCGCGTAGAATACAACAATGAGTGTCGACGCCGGCTACACCAACACTATGTGACTTTAAAAGCCACACTCAGTGTTGCATTCGTAAAGCTACATAAAATGTAGACTTGAAAGCCACACTTTGTGGCCTTTAATGCGACACTTTTGTAGAAATTTTTTCGACATAATTGTTGCATTTAATCAATGGCTGTATATATATGCTCTTTTTGCGCGACAAAACTGTTGTAAAAAAACCTCAAAATTAGTGTTGCGCTAGATGTAACACTATAGTTTAAACACTAATCTGTGTTTTTCTAGACGTTAAAAATGTTTTGATTTTTTGTAAGTATATTTATGCGTGATTTATTCCGCCCATTTAGGTCTTCATGTACTATGTATATAACCGGGTGCAATTAAATAATTCAAATAAAGAATGCTATTTATATCATATAATAAATTACACATTGTCATTTAGAGTCATACTAAATTACACATGTATATTATATTGGATTACAAGAAATAACGGAACGATATCACAATAAAATAATAAAAACTGAAATATAAATTTTATTTTAATTCCAAGTCAATACATTGTTATAGTATTTCTTTTAAGTATATAAACTCAGTTCAAACTCAAACTCAATTCAGTGAATATTAAATTAAAAACAAGTCTTAAAACATTTATATGCAAAAGCGAGTTAAAACCTTGAAAAATAGATACCGCCGTCAGAGAAGAATCGTATATCAACATTTTGTGTTTTTTTTTTTTTTGTCCATTATCAATAAATATTCAGGAGTGTGTGTTTCATAAATATACCACAACAATAAAATTTTAGGAAATATTTAAATAATCAGTCGAATTTTCTGGAAGAAAGACTTTGCAAATTAAAATTTGAAACTTGATTTTCTTGGAAACACAAAAAAAAAGACATACGGTCTCTTGGTTCTCGGCTGACGATATAACAAAAATAAACAAGAAAGTGATAAAAATACTTTTTCGTTTCACAAACATATTGCTTAATTTAATCTTAAACTTACGGCAATACTTTCTTTAAAAGGAATTGACGATAATTCTTTTGTTGTTTATTCCAAGCAAATTTCCCATAAATCTATATACACAAATAAGTTCATGAGGAAAATTGACATTAAATACATAATAAGAGACTAGCTGCAACTCAAAAGCAAATCTAATACTCGGTATGGCTTTCAACCGTATAGCTGTATTATCGACTTATAATTAGAGTTATAATTTGAATTATAAATAGAGTGCTGCAACACTTGAATAAAATCAGTAGAAAAACTTTCTCCCTCTTCAATAACTCAAGGGAGCTTTCAAGACTGAGGTGTACCTAAATGTTTAAGTAAAATTTTAAAAATGCAGAAAATTCAAAGCTCAAAAAAGTAATACTTTTTGATTATAAACCAAATTTAACTTTAAAAAAAAATGCATAGAAAAAACTTACATCCATTTCTCTATAAAATATACCCAAATTCTTGGACTCTTCTTGCTCTTCTGTGGAGGTGCTATCATAAGAAAAGGGAGCGCCTTAAATGCAAGAAAAGTTGCATCTTCTAAATAAAAATAAAAATAAATCAGGGAACAACTTGTATATACTTATAAACCTTTATAGGTAGATTATAAAAAAACCTTCTTTTGGATTAAAAGGGTATATTACATAAGGAACTAATAAATGAAATAAGATGAGAAAGAGAAACTTCGCACTTTTGCAGATTGGCACATAGTCAAGTTGCAGCAGCTTAGTACTTATGCAGATTGACAATTATGTTGTAAAATTTCTTATTTAAGTTATAAAGTTCTTATTTATTCATTCTCCCCACTTAGGGTAGTAGACATATATATACCTCCATTATATTAGTCTTCTGACAAAGTATTTTTGAACATTGAATCTCTTGCTAGTAACAAAATGTTTTGTTTGCAAGTGTTAAAGCCATCATGCAATGTAACATTACTTGATACCTCTTCAATGAAATGAAACTATCTTTGAAATTCCCTCATTAGTTTCATATCTAGGAGGGCCCATGTTGCATGTTTCAGAAGTTACAAAAAGAGAATTTTTTTCTAAGTGTTTATCTTGTTTATATAATGTGTCAAGAAACTTGAGTGGCTCATTGCAATGTATAACACTACTTTCAAACTTACTCTTAAACATTAATAGAGTGGAATCTGCTCTAATGTCATTGAAAACTGATAAAGCAGCATTACCAATATCATCGCTCAAAATAACAACCGATCAATGATCAGCAATGTCTAAAGAAATTTCAAAAAATTCAAGGAAAACCTTTTTTTGTGAAATAATTACATTTGATTGGCAAGCTTTGAAAAACTATTTGAGCACTGCAATATAGGAAACTAATGATTATGAAATTACTGTTAACAGAAACAATTACTTCAGGTATAATGTAATAAGGAACACTGCTGCTTGTTCACAATGAAGAAACTAACAAAGGATCAATATATTCTATTGTTTTTTCAGGTTAAGTGTAAACTTGATAAGTAGAATTCTCTGGGAAACTAGGCAATGAATATTCTGAAAAATTAGGCAATAAATCGTTACGATTATCATTTAATAGATTACTATGTATTTTGGCTCAGGATTTTTATCAATGAAATCATTATCAATATTATGGTAACATTTTACATGTCTAATTAGCGACATATATGCTGTACAGGTACATTTACAGATATTCTGTAAACATCTAATTGGATAAACAATTTTGGCAATACTATTATGACGTTGTAGATGATTTTGAAAAAAAATCAATAGTTACGTAAAAGTACCTCATATACAGCAAATAAACATTTTAATAACTTTTATCAAAAAAAAAAAATTATATATATATATATATATATATATATATATATATATATATAATATATATATATATATATATATATATATATATATATATATATATATATATATATATATATATATATATATATATATATATATATATATATATATATATATACACACAATATATACATATTATAGCACTATAAATCATAGTTGCCATTGTGCATTTATTGCATATATTAATATAATTTTATTAGAGTGCTTTCATAGGTATGATGAAACTATTTAATACATTATTTCAACATGCAACATGACTAAAAATCATAATCATAACTAATAAAAATCATTATTGAATGATATATCATGCAATAATGATTTTCATTAGTTATCTCAGCAAAAAAAAAAAAAGATATGTACATAATGTAAAGTATTCCTTTATGGTATACGTATACCAAAAAGGGTAGATTATATATATATATATATACATATAATCTAGATTATATAGAACTAGATTATATGTATATACATATAATCTAGTTGTTAACATATGATAACTAAAATAGTTGTTGTTAATATAACTAAAATGCTGCTATTTTAACTAAAATAACATTATTATCATATTTATTTGATAATATTTATGTATTAAATATTTTCCATTTTGTTATAACATAAAAAAATTAACTTAAACAACATTAACATTGAGGTTTAACGTTAACAATATTATTTAACAACATTATTTACATTTATGTTAACAACATTACTTGTGTTATGTTAACAGATTACCAGTTAACTGCTAATGTCATGTGATTTTATTTAAACCTATATTTTACACATTTTTTTTAGACTAATGTTATTATTTTATATAATTAATGTTATTATGTTACAATTTTTATAACTTCATAATAATGTTGTTAACGTAACTAAAATAATTGTATTAACATTTTAATACAATATATATAAAATAATAACATTAGTCTAATTAAATAAAGTCACACAACTAATTCATGTAGTAATGTACTACAAACCGAAGGTCTTACCTAATTTTTAACAACTGAAAATCGATATTTTCCTCGCTTAACATATTTAATACGATATTACTAAAATATTACAAACCAAATATTTTTTTATGAAAAAGTTAACTGTGTATGTGTTTAAAATTACCATGCAGCAATAAAAGTTAACTAAAATTTTCAGTAAAACTGAAAATGGTTCTTAAAAAAAAACATGTCGCTAAAAACATGATTCTAGTCTCTTTTCCGAATAATTCGATACGAGAATCCAACAAAGTGCAACACTAAGTGTGGCTTTTTTTACGCATATAATGAAGTTTAATTTCATAACTACAAGTGTGGCTTTGAAGCGCACAAGTGTAGCCTTGAAGTACACTATTTGTGTAGCCAAAAAGACGCTACACTAAGTGTCGTGTTTTTTGTCCACACTATTTTTAAGCGTGTGATGTCACGTCAGCCGTCACAAAAATGAATTCTGAAGATTGAAGTCGTATATTTTGTAACATGTTGAGAAAGTGTATACTGTCCTTAATGTAGGCTGGTAGTGATTCGACCAGTGGTTGTATGAATCTTGTCAGGTATTCTGATAGGTTGTCCGTAGGTCCGCTGCATGCGCTGACTATTGGTCGTAATGGAATGTTAGGTTTATGAATTTTTGAAAGTCCGTAAAATAGTGGTGGTCTGCATGGTTTGCGGGGAAGAAGGAACTCTGCAGTCTGTTCGTTAATTTTATGAAGTTTAAGCATGTAGTTTGACATGTCAGTAATTCCTCTCACAATCTTATTCGCCTGGTCAGTCTGGAGCTCTCTGTATACAGTTCTGTCCATTAGTAGTTCATTCACTTTCTCTTCGTATGTTGTTTTGTTCATGATGCAGAGCCCTCCCCCTTTGTCAGTTTTTTTGATAATAATGTCTCGGTTGTTTTGTAGGTTTTTCAGGCTCGCCATACCTCTGGTTTCAAGTTGTTTTTTTTTCTCGGTATCTCTCTGTTTCACATCTCTTCTAGATCTCTGTCTATCTTGCCAAAGTATTCGAGTATGTTTTCATTCTCTGTTTTTGGAGGTACCTAGCTGGATTTCTTGTAGATTACGGATCTCTTCTGCTCCTTTCTATTCTTGAAGAACATCTTGAGTCGTAGTTTTCTTTTGAATTTCTCCACACTAGCCTCGTATACTTCTCTTCCTACTTTCTGTGAGTTGGGTATAAATTTCAGTCCTTTTCCAATTACTTCCTTTTCTTCATTTGTTGGTACGTGGTCAGATATGTTTGTTATCATTTTGTCAGTCAGAGCTGTTAGCATTCTTACCTTTTCGCTGTCCACCCATCGTTTAAAGTCCCTGTCATGTCTGAAGTTTTCGCCCGGTGGAAAAAGGGTTCTCATGCTGAATGGACCAATTGCTCTTTTCTCATTTGATGGAGTGAATTTTCGTTCGTTGTCCTAAAGGTAAGTAATAGCGTGTATCATTTTTGTATTGCATGTATTTTACTGTTTCTTTACTATATATAAGTGGTATGGCAATTATTGATATGTAGTTGTCCTTTGTTTTGTGAGTGCCCAAATAGTGGTATTTTAGTATGAGTAAAATTGTGAATAATAGTTATTAATTACATATGGATGCTTATACAAGATTATTGGAGATGTTGGCCGGGAGAGAAATGTATATGCATAAAGCACTGATTGTTGATAAATACAGTAGTGTGTTATATGCTTTGCAACGCGTGTTGTGTAATCCTGTGATGAGTGGCATTATAAATAAGGATTAATTAGTAAATAAATGAGTCAGTATTAGCATGTTTTGATATTTACATATTTAAATAAGCATATAAATCGTTTAAAAAATTACAGGTTCGTGTTATATTTTTTCGTTAAGTGTATTGTTTATAAAGATTCATGTCCGCTCTTCGTCTTTCATATATCGTAATAAATAGTATCACGGTAATGTTTTAATTTAGAAAACAAAATACTATGGTCAAGGGTATCAAAAGCTTTTTGTAAATCGATAAAAACACCACAAACAAAATGACCAGTATCAAGAGCTTTCCTGATTTTTTCCGTTATACTTATTTATGCATAGCAAATAGAATGCTTTGATCGAAAACCAAATTGAAAATCATTTAAACAATTAAATGAGTTTAGAAAAGAGTACACTCTAGAATACATAAGTTTTTCAAGAAGCTTACTAATGTTAGATTAAAGAGAAATAGGTCTGTAGTTAGTGCATAAAAAGTTTAAAGCCATTTTTAAATATTGGAATAACGCAAGATAATTTCAAAATATCAGGAAATTTTCCATTTATAAATGAGGTATTAAATAGTTTAGAAAGAATATTTGAAAAATCGTAGTTAAAATCTATTAGAATATTTGTAAGAATGCTGTTTGGAACTAATGATGTTTTTGGATTTAATTTAGATATAAGAGATGAAGTTTCAGAAATATTTGTTGGAGATAATAATAAACTATGTAGATTTGGATGTGTAAGATATTTTTGGTAGTTAATGTAAGATGAATGAATATAGTATTTGAGTTTATGAACAACATTTGTAAAAAAAGTGTTAAATGATTCAGAGATTAAAGTCGGGTCAGTTATATATGTATAATTTTCTTGCAAACAGTTGGGAGATGATTTATTCTAATTTTTTACATTAATTAGAGTGTTAATACCTTTCCAAAGTTCGCGAAGATTTTTTACATTTTTGAAAAAAAAATTTTGAAATGGTTTTTTTACTAAGTTTAATTAATGTAACTATTATATGTTTATATCTTTTAAAAATACTTTCAAATTTTTTTTTATTAATAAGATCTTGGATCTTAACATTTTTTTTTTTTTGTGTTTTTGAATAGATTTTATAATTCCTTTCGTAATCCATGGTTTGAATCAACATTTGAAGTTTTTTATACTGATTTGTTTAAGTGGGGCGTCAGGATCTAAAATCAATGTTGTTTCAGTAATAAACGTTTGGAAACATGTGTTAGTATTATTGGACTTTGTAATATCGTCCCAGTCAATTTTTGATGAACCAGATTTAAAGTTTTCTTTATTAAAGTTTTTAAAGCTCCTGCTGTATAAATTGTGTCTACGTGGTATAAATAATTTATTGAAATTGGGACAAATACAAAATTGAGGTAAATGATCAGAAACAGAAGTTGTCAAATTTCCTGAAACAATTTCATTAGCTATTAAACTAGCGAAAATATTATCAATAATTGTAGCAGAGTAATCAGTAATTCTTGTCGACAAAGTAATAAAAGGGCGAATATTATAAAGAGAAAATAAGTTTAAAAAATCAGATTTTGTAATGTCATTATTTGATTGCATCAGATCAATATTATAATCACCAAGTAAGAAAACAGATTTATTTTCAGCAGATATTTTTTGAAGTAAGACAGACATGATATTATTAATAATATTAATATCCATGCAAGGGTGTCTATAAATGCAACCAACAATAATATTAGACTTTTTAGAAAAAATAGTTTCAACAAATGTGGATTCTAAACAATTAGGTATGTAAATCATTAAATCATCTCTTCGTTTGTTTATTAGTTTTTTTGATAAATATAATAATATATCGCCACAAGAGAATTCCGTTAGTGTCTGCTCAATGTTGTATTTATCAATGAGAATCTGATGAATTGAAGATGTTTCTTTTTTTTTTACCTTGTTTCAGTTATACCAATAATTGAAAAATCAAAACTAATGAATGATAATATTGTGTTTAAATCCTCAAAGTGTAACGATGATATGCTGAGATGAAAAAAAGGAGAGAGCGCTTATTTTATTAAAATTAAGTGTACATAATTCGCTTATGTCATAATATTTACAAAACATGTCTAATGAAGAAGAAATTTTTTTCTCAGAATCCAAAACACGAAATGAAACATAATTATTAATTTGATTAGAGACTTTATTTAAATGAAAAGACCGAAAAAGGTTTGTAGACAGAGGTAAATCATCAGTTTTAAGAATTATATCAGAAGAAAATAGCAATTTAAATTCATTATCTTGTACATCTGTGAATGAAAAGACACTTTTAATACAGTTTAAACAACTCCGCAACGAGCGACTTAATTGTAGTAAACTGTACTTAGTATCATTAAGCCTGTTTTTTTTTTAGTATCGTTAAGTCATATTTTGTATGAGACCAAAATAAACAAATATTACATTGAGATGAGCGGCAACTTTGACTAATTAATTTTTTACACAAATGACAGTTTAAAGCCATAGTGGAACCGCAATATTAGAGAGAATGTAAGAACAATAAGTAGGGAGTAAATAGCTATGTTATTAATAATTGTTAAAATAAAATAATGCGTATGAATAGATAATTAAGAACAACCAATTAAAGCATCGAAAAACTAACAATTATAATAAATAATATTAATGTAGTACAACAATAATGCAACAGCTAAACAAACAGTAAACTATAACAAAAACCAAAAGTTTGAAGAAAATTATAAAATCAGACTAAAAGAGTAAAAAAACTTATTAAAGTTAAGAGAAATAAATTAAAAAATATAATAGCAATAATAAAAATAAATATTAAATATTATATATCATAATAAGTAACCTAATAATAAATTGTAGTAATATAAACAAAAATAATAGTGTTGTATTTAAAATAAGATAAAAAATAATAGATATAAATAAAAACTATCTACTCTTTTAAGAAACTGATCTCCTCTTCTGATTTTTTTTTTTTTTTTTTTTTTTGTTATTAAAAAAAAGAATACAATGCCGTGTTGTATAAATAAAAGCTACATGACCGGGGCTAAAAGAAGACAATATTTGCCTTATCACTACACTTTTACCTGTAAACGTGTGTAACCATTAAAATGTAATCATAAAACATAAAATTACTTTGTACCATTTAAAAATTATATACAAACATATACAAATATGTTAAGATCAGTTACTAATCTATAATCAAAAGGAAATCGTAAAAAAAAAAAAAAAAAAAAAAGCAATAACACCTAAAAACTGAAGATAAGTTAATAGGATAATTTAAAAAAAAATTTAAATTGGTTAGACTAGTTAATAAAATAGTTGTTAAAAAAGAAGATAAAAGAATCTTAAAAAGAATTTAATTCATTAACATCGTTAAGAAGTTTTTGTTTGAGTTTTTGTTTAAATAGAGAAAGTGAAGAACAATTTTTCAGCTGGTTATTTAATAAAGTGTTCCATAATTTAGGACTTCTGATGGCAATAGAAAATTTAGTAGCCAAATAGTGTATTTTAGGTTGCTCGTAATTGTAATTTGAAAATCTTGTAGGATACACGTGATTAATTTTATTGAAAAATGTATTAAAAATTATAGGAGTTAATTTATTATATAGTTTGTACATAAGTATATAAATTTGATAAAGGTTTAACTGAAGAACATTGAGTATGTGATGATTTTTGAATAGTTCTTTAGAATGTGCGAATCGACCTGCATTTGAAATAATCCTAACAGCGTGTTTTTGTCTACTAAGCAATATTTTAACTTTACTTACATTGGAGCTGCACCATGCATTATTTTCATAGTTTATATAACAATTTATGAGGGAGAAATATAAGATTTTTAAGCAGTTGTGGTTTAAGATTTGCTTAGCTTTGTATATTATGCCAATGTTTTTCGAAATTTTATTTTCAATTTTTCTTATGTGTTCTCTCCATGTCATGTTTTTTTTTTTTTTTTTTTTTTTTTTTTACATTTATTTTGCTGTTTAACAAATATAATCAACACATATATATACAAGAAAGAAAGAAATATGTCCGTATAACAAAGAAGACAGTAAAATCTTGTCAACAAGCACCGTTTTTGTATATACAGTATATAAAAAAAACTATACTTTTTTACAATGATCTTTATAAAATAAAGAGTTAAACAGACAGGGGCTCAAAGAAGATGAAGATGACAAAACGTCATCGCAATCTTTTCATAGAGCCCCCTATATACATTTTCA